GCCTCGTGAGGGTTGGGTCATTCATCTCCCGGGTAGAGAATGCTTTTGTTTGGGAAAACAATTTGGTTGGACATCTAGTTTAAGGAAAATAAAGACTTCCCCGTGGAATGCCTTAACGGGAGAGTAAGAACAGAGGAAAATTAAGTACTTGGTATAATAAAGTGAGAGTCCGAATCCCCTTGGTCAGCTTTGGATAGAGCTGGTGAGAAGCCAGACAAGTGGGAGAAAATGGGGGTTTGAGGAGCACTTGGGAAACAGAGAGTCAGGGCCCTAAGGGTGGACACAGCCAACGAGGAACCGCGATGATGAGCGATGGCAGATGTTTTTGAGAGTGAGGACTGATGCTCAGATGGGAGTGGCTTCCTTCTCTGTGGTACGTGCCCTGTGTGACCTCTGGGGCTTCGGCAGAAGGTGGCCCCGCAGTCAGCCTCCTGCCAGGGCAGCCCCCTGGGGTCAGCATGGGGAGGGCTGGCTCAGGAGGCATGAGACTCCTCCAGGCCACCTCGACCCAGCGTGCCTCAGTGACTCCACTTCTTGTATCCAATCTGCATGCCATCTGTTGAAATCCTCCTTCGTTTTCCCAAACCAATGCAAATGCCACCTCTGCGGAGCACTCCCAAATCCCCCCAGATGGACTGTACGCTGCGTCTGCGCACGGTACCTGTTTCAGCAAACACTTGCCTCGCTTGTTCTCACTCTGTTACTTCTGCATCAGCCTCTCTGCTGCCGGCCGGCTCCCGAGCTCCTCTGGGTGAGAATGTGCTTGTTCTCAGCCCTGAGGGCCTCTAGCCTCTCCTGACAGGGGCACAGTCTGCTGTTCGTGCCAACTTGAGCTGTCTGGTTTGCGGAACAATATTTCTAATTGTCAACTCACAAATCGGCATTGTTAATACTAGTTTTGTGAACTCAAACTTGGTGAACGGGAAGGAGGATTCTGTTCTTGGTGTGCCCGACGAAGGCCATACACGCGGCCAAACTCAAAGTGTGGGGATGAACCTGGTATCTGGGGTCTCATCTGCTGCATCTGCTGCTGAGAAACTGCAAGCAGCATCCAGACACGGAGAAAACACACTGGTAAGGGGACCCCAGCATCCCTGGCTGTTCTGTGGTGGCTGTCGGCCCCTTTAGGCGAGGTGACAGAGGGAACTGCCACCACATAAATTAGTTACCCAATTTCACCGGGAAGGACGGGACCTAGTGTCAGGTCCTAGAATGGGCTGAAAAGTAAGAGTGTACATGGTTCCCGAAACGGGCTGCAGCGTCACAGCACGAAGCAAGAGGATCAGACCTACAGAGACCCTGGGCCGTAGCCAGTTAATCAGGGAGCCCCTGGACAGGAACGTGTGGGCAGGGACTGACACCACCCTCAGTCTGAATAAGCGAACCGTCCCCATGGCTGGTGGACAGGGACGTCACTACACAACCACGGCCCTCCTCCAGATTCCCAGGACTGAGCCAGCTCACAGACCCAGAACGTCTCTCCTAGGGGGATGGCCGGGTCCCCTGACCCTCCAACAACAGTGGGGAGGGCACAGTAGAGACCTACAGAGTGACCGCTTTCCTCCAAGATGGTAAAAAGCCAAAAGCAGTATTGCTTTAATGGGAATTCCGGAGAGGAGTCACAGGACCTGTGCCCACCTGACCTGTGACGAAGGCACGTGGGTGTGGTGGGTGGCCAGGGGCCGTCACACATTTAATCGGATCGGACCCCAACTGCAGACGCTGCCCCACGCAGGGTGGTTCCTCTACTGGAATGGACGGCCCCAATGACCGCTCTGGCGCACCTCCTTGTACACCCGCCACAGGACCTGCCAGAAGCAGCCTGTGTGCACCTCCGTGGTCGTGTGGAAGGGCCGGGTCACCCGTCCAGTGCTCCAGTACGCTGGGGACCCGCAGACACCGACGCTCTCACCCCCAGCATCGCGGGCAGAAGCATGAGGATTATCCTGCAGGTAACTGTCCTCCTTTCAAGCTCCGGGCCGCCTTCCAGACGCCAGGACAGACTCGGACGCTGCGCTTCACCAGGGATACCTGGTTCCCACAGGACTTGAGCTGGTCAGCGCGCCGTCTGACCCTTCGCGGCCTTGGGCTGGGCAGTTGCTGGAGCATGTCATCATTAACACACAAGACTGGGCTCAAGCGTGTCCTGAAGGCACCGCAAGCAGATGGCTCAGTCTCCCAGTGCCCTCCTCGTGTGCCCGTGGTTGCCCAGAGTTTCCTCTTGGCAGCTGCCGGTAAAAAAGGTTGTTTTTTTTAAGATTTTATTTATTTGAGAGAGAGAGTGAGAGAGAGAGAGAGCACATGAGAGGGGGGAGGGTCCGAGGGAGAAGCAGACTCCCCGCCGAGCAGGGAGCCCAATGCAGGACTCGATCCCGGGACTCCAGGATCATGACCTGAGCCGAAGGCAGACGCTTAACCGAGCCACCAGGCGCCCAAGGTTTTTTTTTTTATTAAGATTTTATTTTAGAGAGAGGGACAGAATCTCAAGCAGACTCCACACTGAGCACAGGGCCCAACACAGGGCTCCATCTCACAGCCCTGAGATCACGACCTGAGCCAAAACCAAGAGTCGGACACTTCACCGCCTGAGCCCCCCAGGTGCCCCACCTGTAAAAAAGTTCTACTTGATTTCTCAAGAATAACGCTGGCACCACGTAAAGGTGAAAACTGGTGGCACGAGAGCCCCAAGGGTGATCCTGAAAGCAGTGTGGGAGAGGGCCACAGGTCTAGCACCGCATGTCATTGTCCATGTCACCTGGAGAGTGCCTCCAAGAAAGCGGGCAGTGACGGTCAGGGTCTCGGAAGGAACAGGGCTGGAAATCAGTGGCAGGTGGGATCTCGGCTGTGGACAAGGGCCGAAGAAGGGGAAGCGGCTAGAACTCCCGAAAGGAGCAACACGCAGATGCCATCCCCCGTGTGGGAGCTCACCCCTGGAGTTCCGGGACATGATGACCCGTCTGTGGACGTCCGTGACCTTTCCGTGCCTGTCAGTGGCTCCCAGAAAGCCTTACTTGCTGCCGTGGTTCTGACAGCACTGCTTCTAAGAGGTCCGTCTCCCACAGCTGTCCAGCAGCGAGGTCCTGGACTACCCCCACTGTGGCACAGGCTTCGCACCCCCAAGGAGCCAGCTGGACAACATGGCGGGGTGCTCCGACCGGGACGCCGGCTTGTGGCGGTGCCTCGTGCCCTGAACTGCCCTCAGGACCTGACGACGCGGTCTCTCCACCAGAACACACAGCCGGAGAAAGCGTGTGACACAGGGATGGTTCACGAGATCTCAGGATTTTGGTGTGGACATCTGTTCCTAAGGGAGAGCTCCTCCACAGAGGGACACAAGTGTCCCATTGGCCTCTGCAGGCTGACAGGCCACCCGGCTGTACTGGACACCGCAGGCCAATGAACCAAAAGGCAAAGCCGGTTGACTGTCACAGCTTAGGCCACTGCTCCCCACTCCCTTGGGGACAGGCCTACTGCCAGACAGGGGCAGGCAGGTGTGTGTCTGGAATTTAAGAGATCTTCTGGGGAACCTCCTAGAATTCCCATTTCCAGCAATCAGAACCAATGGAAAACGAGTCGCCCAAACCAGGAAGACGTCTTGGAGGGAGACCTCTCAGGAATAAAGTCTGGGTCAACCCACCAGGTGAGGTACCACCACCAACAGGAGTGAGTGGCTGAGGGCAGAGTAACATGGAATGAGTTGTAGAAAAGGGAATTTTTAATACCAACATCTGCCAGCTCACCAGGTGCAAAAGCACAGGAGTTCCACCTCTCTCTTCATGTGCTTGGTAAATATATTTTCTTTTATTTCCCCTTTTTCATTGAGCTCTAACATCAGGAGGGTTTAGAGTGGCTAATACCATAAATTATCTTTTAAATTAGAGTATGTCCAAGGGAGGGTGTGACCGCTGGAAAAGAACATGTCACAGGGGCAGAAGCCCGGACGCGGGGGCTCCAGGGTCTACGCCTGCACCAGAGAAGGCCACATCGCAGGAGCAGAAGCTCGGTGCTCTCTGTCCTTACCCAGAGTTTCGTTTAAAAGGGGTGGTGGGTGCTGAGTTGGCAAAGGGATGGATGGAATGTGCTGGAATGTGTCTTCCCACAGCACCACCCCTTCCCTTTGAGGTCTCCTCGGCACTGCTCTCCAACAGCAGAGAAGCCCAAAACACACAGGGTGGGCACCGTTCCTTGTATCAGAACATGGGCTAGAATCTGCCTGGGAGGTAGGGACGGTGGAGAGGCCACGAGTCACTGTGCGAGGCCTAGCGCACATGCAGACCTGAGGTTGGGGACGGCCTCACAGCGGGTGTGAAAGCTGCCAGATGATGGATGCTCCAGACAACTGCAGTGGCCCAGAGAGTCCTCGAAAATCAGACTTCAGCTCTCCGAGCAGGACTGGAGCGACTGCACTCTTGACCCTCAGTCCTCCGGCTCTCCCCGCTCCTACGCAAGACCCTCCTACCCAGACATGTGCCAGGGCTCCTACTCTCCTGGCCACAGACGGGCAAACCTGCTGCCTGGCACCATCTGCCCACCATACCTTCCTCCCCAACTCTGTCCCATAGGATCTGGATCATCCAACCTTGCTCTCCGCTCCAGGGATGAGGCTGGACTGGCCCACGTTCTTTCTCCATGCCCCAGTGGTGGCTCAGGAGTGGAGCCTGCCCAGTCTGGCCAGTGAAGACAGGGGGCCGGGTGACCTGGCCACAGTGACCATTTTCAAGAGTTTTCTGGGTGACGTGTGGGTATAAAAGCTCCCCCTGGACACTGTGTCATGGTGGACAAAATGCTGCGGCCATTTGGTCCCAGGAAGGTACCCAGCCCGAGGTTCACACAAACGCGGGAACAGCAATTCAGAAAACTGCAGAGAAACGGAACTTGATCCCCGATCAATCAGAGCCTGCAATCCACTCTACCTTTGACTTTTCAATTTCCATGCTAGTAAAGCCTATTCAGGCTGAGTTTTCAGATGTAGCCAAAAGCATCTTGACTTCTAAGTGTTTTCATAAACCTCCTTTACTTGTGGATTTCTTGGCTAAATGTATTAACATTTGTTTCTTCTCACTGAAAGTCCAAATTTTCAACAGAGCTGTATGTGTAAGATTGATCGTGTCGTTCCACTTGTTCTTCTGCTGGCTGGTGTAAGTCACCAGGTTCTCCGTATACTGCAAGATCGACTTTAAGAACCTGTTTTAACGAAAAGAAATTAATTTCTTTATTCTATTATAAAATGCAACAATGATTTAAATGTACTCTTTTTGTTTTGGAATTTAAAGTACTGCACTTAAGGGGCGCCTGGGTGGCTCAGTCGGTTGAGCGGCTGCCTTCGGCTCAGGTCATGATCTCAGGGTCCTGGGATCGAGTGCTGCATTGGGCTCCCTCCTCTGCGGGAAGCCTGCTTCTCCCTTTCCCACTCCCCCTGCTTGTGTTCCCTCTCTCGCTGTCTCTCTCTGTCAAATAAATAAATAAAATCTTCAAAAAAAAAATAAAGTACTGCACTTGATTTTTGTCTGTAAATTCAAATAAAAGAACCACATGCAAAACGGAAGTGAGAACAGAAGTTAGAGGAAGAGATGCTGAATCATACGTGTCCCTGGAGAGGTGGCTGGACCCCAGATGAGGTACACGCCTCAGCACCTTGTTAAACTCACTCTCACATCAGGTAGGATGGTTGCAAGTGATGGAAGTGCATTCCAGAAAAGGCGTTAGAGACTGCCTGGATTAAATGCCATGTGAGCATGCAATGCACACAATGGGGAGCGTGCAGGCCCTGCAGCCCCACAGGGGTGCCTCTCTGGCCCCGGGCATCCCACACCTGCCCTCGCAATGCAGGTGCACTGCCTCCCGGGAGACACTTTCCACTCGGACACAGCACTGCTGAGGTGTTTATCAAACGGTTCGCGGGCTCTTCTCCAACAGGTGGGGATCAAGTCCTGCTTCTATTTTCCAAGTTCTCCCCAGTTTGCCAAGTAGGCTGGCAACATTCCCCAACTTCTAATTCTGAATATTTTCAAACTTAGAAGTTAAAGGAATAATATAATGAAAGTCCACAGATCCTTCACCTAGAGAATGGTCCTCAGCTGGGGATGACTGTATCTGGCAACGTCTGCATCATTCTGGACTGTCACCATGTGGAGCTCCCGGCACGCAGTGCTGGGGGCCAGGGCACTACTCCCACCATGCATGCTCATATGGCCTACCACAGACGACCCCCGCAGTGCAGAATGTGGGGGCGGGGGGGGGGTCACCTGGAGCCACCGATCCGTAACATTCTGTGTGGCGGCCTCCCTGGTTCCCACCTGGGTTCCACGTTTCTTTAAGAAAATACCAGTCCTACGTTCACATTTACTTTAAACATGAGGTACGTGCTACCTGCAATATCACTCTCCACATGCTGGTGGTGTTAGGACACAGAGTGAGGAATTCTGAAAGCGTTTGCAAGCTCATCACGCTTAATTTTCTGAAATGAGCCTACATGGGTGTTAGTTTTAAAGGTTCACAAACTTGCACCAAAATCCACAGAGAAAAACAGTAAAGAGCCAACCAAGACTGTGGGCTTAAAAAAATAATAAAATAACCAATAGAAGTAAAATCACTTAAATTTACTAAAACAGTTTCATTTCTTATACATACAACACACTTACTTTAGATACTGTTGATATTCATAAGTATTTTTTCCATGAACCACATGAATGTTGACCAATTCCAGGGCAATCAGCAATAAAATCAGGTAAAGCACAGGAGACAGAAGCTTAATACTAAAATAGATGAAGTTAAAATTTGACAAACTTAAGAATTTTGAACTTTCATGGGTGAAAACTCCTTTTCAAGGGAACTTAAATTCAGCCTTCTCAAGGCTTCTCTGTGGCGGTTTCCCTGTGGGCCCCCGCCCCGCCACAGCCCACCTGCCCCGGCCCCCGCCCCCAGAGCGCCGGCCAGCCGCCACCAGCCTCCCAGCCACCGCAGCTCAGGAGCAAGACGGCACCGGCTCTGCGTCCAGCAGTTGCTCTGGGTCTCCGTCTGCAGCGTCTGTCCTATAGTCCGGTATTTGGTAAATGACTCTCACAAGAAGAAACACAAATGGCTCAAACCTGGAAATGTGTTCAATGTCTCCAGGACACAAAGATATTCCAATCAAAGTAAGATACTATCTTGCTCATGAAACCGGTAGAGAATTTTTCTGAAATATACCGTTTGGGGAAGGATGTGACGTAACAGGCATCATCTTGTAAACTGCTGGTTAGAGTGTACCTTTCAGAAGCAGCCAAGGAAAACCCGTTAAAAGCTTTATAGATACAGATACCACTCAACCCAGAGTTCCAGGAATTTGTCCAAAATTGTAATTTCTTAAGGATGTAGAACATCCTAAAATACACAACAGGTAAGGAACCAGAATGCTGGCATACCCAAGTTAACTTGCTGTTAATATTTTAAATCCAGATATTCGTTTGGGTCAGTGGCACCCATATTCTCTCACACCAAAATCACAACAGTATTTAACACACTATGTGTCCTCTGCAAGTGAGTATTCCCCTGAAAGTAGGAATCAGAGCTGCATCCCAACAGAACCCCTGCCCAGCGGGGTGTCTCCGGACCAGGCCCGCGAGCCACACACCTAGTGAGCATGTGCAGGTAGGTCTGCCTCTGCCGGGAGCGCAGCCTCCTTTCCACCCACTGCTGGTGTCTCAGCTCCACAGAGGCAGCGACCTGGCTGGACACGCGGGCGCAGTGTGTGCTGATGTTTCGGAGCACAGTGAGCACTTCCAGAACGGTTCTGGGACAGAAGAGAGTTGGGACAGGGGTGCCGCAGAGTTCCTGGATCACCTGGGGCCACCTGGGGATTAGAGTGTGCGAGTTCTCATGGGGTATGTTCCCTGCCCGGGCCCCCCGATGGTCAGCTTCTGGGGCGCAGTGGCCGTCACACAGTGTGCTCAGTTCTGCAGGCCTCACACACACGCACGCACACTTAATTGTGGGGGGCAGAGTGTGCAGGAGAGCTCCGTCAGGCACAGCAGCGCCTCACAAGCCATGGAGGGTGGGCTCCCCGGTCTCTGGTGGCACAACCACAGTGGGGTCGAATGCTGCCTCAAGCTCACAAACGTTACGACACAGGAAACAGCTGAGTGTGGGGCCCCGACACGGCTGGTCAGTGCTCCAGCAATTCCCGACACTTCTCGGAGACTCACCTCTCGGCGGAAAGACTGCCCCAGTCGCTGACAACACCACGACTCTCGGGCAAGTGGTGGGGCAGCGCTCTCAGGATTTCTGTGATTAAAGCCTCGCAGGCCTGTGTTTCAGAAGTACCTTCTAATCTGAAAAACAGAAGATATGCAGATACAGCCCAAACAGTGCCGTGCAAATGTTTAATGGTTCACTTAATCTGCAGCATAGTTTTCCCAAATATAAATGAAAAAGCCACTGTCAGAGGCAATGGTAAAAATAAATGATAGGCTAAAAGCAACATACATTGTTGACAAAAGATAAGCAACAAACCGTCTAAGTATTATTCCTACGAGATGGATCTGCTATATCCTGATTCCAAAATCTCTCTCCATCCCTACTTCTCTCCTGACCTTTAGATCCTATGTCTAATCACCCGCTAAATACTTCGAGTGGACACCATCCCCCTCCCCACAAAGGCTGCCTCTGTTCCTGTGTTCCTGGTCTTCCCAAATGGCCCACCACCTGGCTGGGCCCTCAGCGGGGAGACCGCGCCCCCTGCGCCTCCACCGAGTGGCCTGCCCTGCTCACCAAGGCCTAACAAGCCCCCTGCACTTCGTCTTCCCATGGCGCCGCTGAGACCTCACATGGAGGTTGGCATCCACTGGGGACGGTGAGGTCTGCATGACCCCAGGACAGAACTCACCTGGCTGCCTCCTCGGCCTCTTCAGGCAAAGGCAGGAGGGGCCAAACCCTGATGCTCTTCTCACAGCTCAGCACCTGAGAGGAAAATGTCCTACTGCTTTTAAAGATTTTACAGTAACAGTCTGGAAAATATTTTTGTAACTATTATGAACGTAGCAATCACTTTCTAGGAGATATATATTGGCAAAATTGTTACAGATCTTACAACATTTTAAAACTAGGTGGTGGGTCTCAGTTATTCAATACCATCAGATAAGCGAAAGCCAGTGAAATTAACAGGAGATTAGAAGGTAGTTAATATGCGGAGTGGTTGTGAAACGTATCAGCAAACTCTTGACGCCCCTGCTGTTGAGAGCTGAGGTCCTCGCCCCCTCCCGAATCAGGACGTGCTTTGGTGAGTGGCCTTCCCCCCGACAACACAATGTAAGTGAGGATGTGTGTGATTCTGGAAGCCACGTCAGAAAGGGCGGCACCTCTCCCTGGTTCACTGGGAGGCCCCGCACCAACTTCTCATCTTCTCCGATGGAACACCGAACCAGGGGAGCCCATGCCAAATTTCTGACTCACGAAAGTGTAAGCAAATTAAACACTGACACCACTGAATGTGGGTAATTTATGCAGCAGTTGTAAACAGAGTTAAAAAGAATGGTATGCAAGACCACTAAACGAAAAATGAATACATCACGGGCAGCAAGAGTAAGAAGCTGCAGGAAGGGTGAGGGTCAGAAACACCCACTGGGGGGCACAAAGGGGCCTCCACCAGGGCCGAGACAGCAGCGGCCAAGGAGCAGGGGGGGCTCGTGAGGCTGGAGATTTGGGGCGGAGGTCTACAGGCAAATCCTGCCTTCCTGAAGCTTCCCTTCCTTCTGGGACGTCCCTTCTGTCCCTTCCCTTCCTCCCTCCTGACTCTGCAGGTCAGGGTGCTGCAGACACCTGGCGTCCTCCCTTGCAGCCCGATGACTCGCTGCTGAACTAGATAGAACACATGGGGCACAGGTATTCGGGTTGAATTCTTCCCTCACGTAGCACCAGGAGAGTAAAACACCTCTAGAACTCTCTGCACGCCACTGCCGACAGCCCCTTCTAGCTGACACTATTTCTCTTAAGACGTCATCATTGACACTCTGTTGTCTCGGGCAGTTTCTTCCAGCTGCCGCTGTAAATCTCTCCCTAAACCCTTATGTGTGGATCCCACAGCTTCCATTTAGAGGCCAACTCATTGATGAATGTCTGCATTAGCAACTATCATGACTATTCTACTCTTAGAGACCACCCCATTCTTGCCCCTTGCACATTCATATCCAGCTACATGGAGAATAAAGCACCCAAGCTCATTTCCATACTGGAACCTCCTGGCAGAAATGCTTCAAAGTCTGTGGTTTCCATGATCTAATTTACACGGGAACAAGCTCTGGTCTCACCTGGTAAAAGGAACATTGCCCGAGTTAAGGCAACAACCTGCTGACCCAGCAGCCACACAAGTACTAAAATCACCGGAAACAACAAACACCATCATTACTGTTCTGCTGGACAGGGGATGTGAGGCTCGGAGGGACGGAGCTGCGTGGCCAAGGCCACCTCCTGAGCACAGCCTCCAGTCGCAACCCTGAGGTCCGGCTTGCCAGGCCGCCTGGACCGGTGGGCATCTTTGCCCCAGGTGCCGTGCACACCCCTCCCGACAGCCCATGTGCAGCTCACCTGTTTTTTAAGCTGAGAAACTGGGTGGAAGTGGGCGTGGTAACCCTCTGCAAGACCAACCAGTGATTTTATCGCTGCTTTTTCCTGGTTCAGAAAAAACAGACAAGGGTTACTGTGACATGTGGTCAGGCCCCCGGTTTTCTCCTGCTGAATTCGAGTCACACGAGAGCCCCCGTCTCACCATGTTCCTTCAGCTCTAACAGAGCAAGACTTCACCAAAACAGGTCTGAGACAGTGGTCAAATCATAACCAACAGAGGTGTTTTAAATGAAGCCAATTAACAATGATAAATAACAAAGACCACATCTGCTCTTTGTCCAAAATCAGTGGCACTAGAAATACATAAGAAAGGCTCCAAACTGGAAAATAAGAATGTCTCCAAAAAAAACAGAATGGGAATTTAAACATTAAAAATCAGTACGACCAAAAGAGTCATATTGCTAAACATGTAAATGCTGAAAAAAAGAGTAAAAATAACATTATTTACAGCTGATATAACTGTGTGGCTGGAAAATCCACACTGGCTGACTAAAAACTATCAGAAACAGAAAAGTCAGTGAGTTGACAGCTGACTAACTTAATATACCAATGATCAATCAGTCGCTTTCCCACACAGAAGCAGTAACTCCCCAGAATTCTCAAGAGCACAAAGCGAGTCACTAAATATCCAAACGCAAACCTTTCGTTTGCTCAAAGACCCAAGTCCTATCGCACAGCAGAGAGGTTCTGTGCACAAGGCAGGCGGGCCGACCTCCTCGTGGGGCAGCTGCAACTCAACATGTGTGAAGACTGGCGATGAAGCCACAAGAGGCCCCGGGCCCGGCAGAGCACACGGCTTCTCGTCTGAGACTGTGGGAGGGTGGAGGGGGGGAGGGAGGGCCTACGGAGGACCCCTCTGGCTGCTGCACTAACAAGAGAACAGGGGGCCACCACAGGGAGGGCAGGTGAAGGCTGGGGCAGCTTGGCCCAGCATATGGCACAGGAGGACGTGGACAAGTAAAGACAGGAGATTCTGGCCTCTGGATGGTGCTGCCACTTAGGGGGAGGCTCTGCGAGGGAAGCCTGAGGACACAGAGACACCACGTTTGGGAATAATGTTCACTATTGTAAAAACCATCAATTGCCCCTAAATGAATCCATCAATAGCCCATTCCTGTTTATTGCTTGGTTAGTCTTGGGCTTTGTGTTTATTTTAACAAGTTTGCCTACAATCCTAATAGGGAGGAGGTGGGGAAATTCTGAAAGAGAAGAGAGATGGGAAAGTAACCTTACAGACATGGAACTCTGTCACAAAGGTGAGTACGGGTACACAAGGAGACCAAGTCCACCGCACACACTACAGAGATGTTTGTCTTTCAGATGCTCTTAGGCCAACTTGTAAGCCTTTTGTCTAAGAAAGAAAAAAAAAACCACAAAAAAACAAAAACAAGTAAACCTAAATTCTCTCACTCCCGATGAAAAATTCCAGCTGGATCAAAAGATGTAAATGGGAAAAAAACCCTATAAAGGTACCAGGGAAATGCATGTATATGTTCATAATTTTGGAACGCAGAGTCTTTTAAGAATAATTCCAGGGGCGCCTGGGTGGCTCAGTCGTTAAGCGTCTGCCTTCGGCTCAGGTCATGGTCCCAGGGTGCTAGGATCAAGACCCGCATCGGGCTCCCTGCTCTGCGGAGAACCTGCTTCTCCCTCTCCCACTCCCCCTGCCTGTGTTCCCTCTCTCGCTGTGTCTCTCTCTGTCAAATAAATAATAAAATCTTAAAAAAAAAAGCTTTAAAAAAAAAAGAATAATTCCAAATGCATAAGCCAAAATAAAAAGACCTCAAAACTTCAAGACAAATAAGGAGCAACACAAACAATGGAGTGGTAAGTGCAGCTAATAAACCATAAAAACGCATAAAATGGAGCAAAAGACATTAATTGTTCACAAAAGAATCACATTTCCAACAAATAAAAGACAGCAAAGTAACACAAAACATGGAGATAAAAACATGGTCTTACTGGTACATTTGCTTCAGAACTGTACTTGAACAAATTCACTTACACATGTGCCCAAGTGAACAAGGATGTTTACTTGAGACACTGTAATCAGGAGCGTTCCACACGTCAGAACTCACCCATCCGTGAGGGACAGCTTATATACATGAGGATATACTGATAAAAAATGTCAGACAGCTGGTAGAAATCAGGTAGAAGGATTGCTAATCACTAACAGGTTTCTTCCTCTAGCTTTCCTGTGTGCTCCTGGGAAGAGGTGGGAGCAGATGCCCACCCGCGAACAGCGCTCATCCCACGAGAAGGCCTTCCTGAGTGCTGTCACTTTTCCTATCACGTTTTCCGTTTTGTCTGAACCTCTCAACAATCTTTACAGTAACTGTGACATGTATAATTTGAAAAACAGATTAGAATATCAATAACTAACCCAAATTATTTGTTATAAAATAATAAAAGAATTAGTTTACTGATTGATGCAAATATTCCATCCGACCAATTTGTCATTTGTAAAATTTTCTGATATATTTAATTTGTTTTATACTGGTTCTTTGGTTTGATCACACAGTATCAGTTTACCTGTTGCAATAAATATACGCATATAATCAAATCAAGTCACAATTACGTGTTCTGATGGAGGCATACTATAACTCACATAAATTTAAAGAAAAGGTGATTAAGGGTTAATTACATCTGAAAATAAGCTGTATTTTGTCACAGCTGAATAACAGTGCATCTAATGGTTCTCTTCCTTATACATTACCTTAAGGGCCGCTGACAGATCTTCATCAGTGAATCTGAGTAAAAGTACAACGGAAAATGCAAGCAATTGGTTTGCTGCCTCTTTCGGAAATTCAGGTAAGTTGATTTCCCCATGGCTTAAATGGTCTCTTATACGGGGGCCCTCCTGATGGTTTAGGAAATCCCAAAGAAACTCCTTTCAGAATATAAACAGAAAATATCTTGTTAGTTTTCTCAACTGAGGGAAGAAAGAATGGGCCATGCCTGACCTATCTAGGGAACAGCAGTGTCGGCTTACAGAGATGAGGAAACTGAGCTTCAGAGACAGTTAATCAAGGTAATACAGCTGAGGTACCATGCTGGGTTCCTCCCTGGGAACTCAGTCCCTAACTGCGGCCCGCCGCTTGGGGGCAGGACCCTCCCTGGGAAGCCCTGGTCTAACTGCCCCCCGCTGCTTGGGGAAGACTGACAAGGAAGTGGACAGCACCAGTGCTTTAGTAAAACTCACCAGGTCTTACTCACATCCCACTGTAGGAACAGGCAGAGGTGTCCACGTCTGGAAGCTAACTTTCCTCCTACCTCAACGCAACCCTTGCCCCTCCCTGTCCTGAGGCCTCTCTCAGATCTGTGCCCTCCTCTGTAAAGCCCCCCTGATGAGGACGGCTGCTTCTTCCCCAGTGCAGGCTGGAGCAGAAAGAGTCAGAAGTGCTGAGCCGGGCGAGTGGCTGGTGGACAGAGCAGTCCCGGAGATTCAGGAGGGAAACAAATGTCAGATAAACTAGCTCACTCACCCTTACTTCCTGCTGCCAGAAACGACACCCAGAGACCGCGCAGAATCCCACTAATGTCACACATGAGAACCTAGGCTGCTAATAATGCTCAGTGAAAAGGAAGAAATATAAAAACTGTACTGAGAATCCAAAGTAGCCACTGTAATAGCTTCATAAAAAAAACAACAGTGTTAAGCAGGACCCGACTGGACATCACTATCTGCCCCCTCCAGCACCACAGTCCCCGCTACACATTCACAGGCCGCCTGGGGGCAGGGCAGCTCCGGCAGCAGGCCTCAGAAAAAGGGCCTTAAAGCCCAAGGGGTAGTCTGCCGCGGGCGTGACATTCAGACAAGTGCGGGGGTGGTTCAGAAGCGCTCTTTGTGAGCAGATCACAAGCCAAGATTAACTTCATTTTGGAGAAGTGCTAATCACATCCATAAATAGGGGAATATGAGATCGGTAAAGGCCTATATTTTACCATTGCAGGCTCTCCAAGGAAAAGAGGAAGCTGATTGATTTTACCATCATCCAAGTGTTTTGCCAATATCTAAAACACCAAAAATAAATACATTAATTAATTAGTGCACACACATGTACATACAGAACCTTCAAAGGATGGAGCATCTTTGGTTACAACATGCTACAGAAGCCCAAGCAAAGGAAATAAGGACAGTCTTAAAGACAGAGCAGCCATCCGTTTTCTTAACCAGTATGATGACTTTAGGAATACCTATGAATATGTATGTATCTTAACTGTGTGTGCATGGGTGTTTATGTGTACTTATATGCATATATGGATATGTGTGGTAATGTGTACACACGTGTGTGTGTTTATGTGTGGATGTGTATTTGTGTATTTGTGCGTACATACACTCGTGTATTACATGTGTATACATGTATTTCTGCAGATTTGTGTACATGTCTGTGCATACGCTACTGTATCGTGCGTGTTTACGTACGTCTAGAAGTACACGCATGTATGTGTGTTCAAGTGTGTGTGTGTGTATTTACAGGTACTTATGTGTGTGTTCGTGTGTGTGTGGATGTGGATAGAAATATACATCACAGTTACCTTATACACCACTTCTTAACACACCAGTTTGGAACCCAACCACCCAATCCAACGCAATAGACCCTAATCCCATACAGACAGGACTACATTATCTAATTTAATCCTCACAGCATCAAACATATTATGTATTAAATTATAGCAAATTATTTACCTCGTGGAATAAAGTCTACAGGTAAACAGGCACATTACTTAATCCCACCCACCACCCATTCACTAAGGAATCTAAGAGTTCTCTTAAAGGCAAAGTAATCTAAACACCCAAATCTCTCCACAGAGACTCTCCCTTTGTTTCCTCCTGTCGGCTAACTCTGTGAAATCACACTTCAGGCTATATGAGAATTATTATCCAGGATTACACACACATAAAAGCCTCTATACTCTAAAGTGATAAAAGATATTTTTAATGGCAATTTTTACTAGTCCAGATTTTCAGCTTTAGATTCACACACCCAATTCACAGATTAAATGCATCATTGCACTTACAACCACAGTTCATGTATATTTCATGTGCAAAAGAAGTGTTAATCTTAAATCTAAAATGTAACGTCTAAATAATCATAGCATATAATATTAGTATCTCTTGGCATTTTCCAATGTTGCTCTTTCCATAACTTCAGAAACTAGGTTAATCATACTGGATCTCAAAATTAGCCTGAAAACTACACTTTATAATAGAGGTTTTTTGCATGTATGACCATCAACATTTCCTGTGTAGTAAAAAACAATGTTTTGTTTCCAGATACTCCCTAAAAGTTTACTTACTTCATCGAAGGTGGTATAAAGAGCCGTGGACTTCAGAAAAGGAAAGAAAAGAAATAATTAAAACAAAACATAAGTACTCAAAGGAGAAAAATCAATTCTAGTACATGTCCACAAATATGAAACCTTCTTTTGAAAATAAATCTAAACATAGCAGCACCTTGGGAAGAATGCCATTGGCATCGGGGCACATCATCGAAGACGGGAACCTACAGTGAGCCTGGCAGTGGGGCCCTGTTCAAACTCTGCTCACCACGTGCTTCAGCTCAGGTTCTTCTCATCACACAGCACACCTCACATACACACACATGCAAGTGAGCATAACTGGACGTGTCCTCCCACAATCAGCCTGTGTTCTGCACGCTTCCTGGTGTGGTTGGTCCCGTCTACAGACACAGGCTCTGCAGCTGGCTCTCTCAACATCTACTCCCGGCTTCCGTGCTCCCTGGAAGCGAGACCCTGCGCACCTCCCCACCTAGGCTTCTCTGCAAAACGGGACATGAGTAGTGCCCATCCTGAAAAGCTGCTGGGGAATTCAGTAAGATTTTACACACACTGTGATGGAATCAGCATTCTGTGGAAGCCAGCTCTCAAAAAAAGTGTCTCATTTAACGTATTTTCAAATTAACATTATGAAATTTCCTTCAGCATTTATTACAACGTAGAGACCTATAAAGTCTATATCTTTATAGCTCCCAAACGTATGCTACTGACCCTAAAACTTTTCCTGAGCTCTAGTCTAAGTATCCAACTGCCTACTAAATACTGAACTTTTCACTGATCTCCATAAACCGCAGGCATTAACTTCTACCCTGTTTAAGGAATGGGTATAAATGTCTTCTCTCTCACACCTCATACATAAGCTTCTTCAAGTCACACCGTCTTACTCATCTTCCCATCTTCCACTGACCTCAGAGCCTTATGCTGTAAGTATTCAGTAAACAGTAACCACCTGTGCACAGCACTTTACAGCTTTATAAAGCATTTTCACATGTGCACTGCCTTACAAATAAGTTGACGCCATGTTTATTCTGAACAAGAGCCTGGCCTACAATTTAAGACACTGTTTGATAAAAAACAGTCATGCTATTTACTTGTGTGGCCAAATAACATGTAAATGACCGAATCTGTTTACACCCCTGTGAAGTAATCCCAAGCGTACTCGAGTGAGAGCTGTGACAACCAGGGTTCTCGCTGTTTCTGCTGGAGACAGACGCTGCACGACGCTTCCTGGCACTGCCCAGGGCAGAGCCGATGGGAAAGGCACCAGGCGTGGGCATCAGGGGACACAAACGTGAGCACTGCACTCCTAAGGAGCCTGCACCAGAAACCTGTACAAACAGGCACGGAAGGCACAGCAGAACTGCCCGGAGATAAAACAGGCAGGACGCAGGGAAGAGAAGCTGCTGCATCGGAGGGGTTGAGGATCTGGGAGGTCACTCACGTGGCCTGAAGCGGTCTGACAGGGACAGTGGGCAAAGCCTGCGAACAGACACGTTCTGGAACTGGCGAGGGGCCTTGGTTATGCCGGAGGAATCCGACAGGAGAGGAGACAGACCGGAGGAAGGTGGGTCCACATGGGGTCCCCGGGACACCCTGCGCAAGCTCGAAGCTCGCTGCAGGTACTGGGGTGCCACTAAAGTTCTAAGCAGATGAGACCATGATAGAATATTTATCCCGGGGGGAGGAGCCGGGTGAGGCCTCAGCGTTGAGAACGGGCGGGTGGGGCTGGACACGGAGTGGATGAAGGGGATGCAGCACAAGGTGGTGCTGGAGGCTGGTACCCAGCGCCTGAGCGGAAATGGATAATAAGGAACACCAGAGAACAAATTTGTGGGAGGAAAAGTGAGCTTTGTAGGAATATGGTTTGAGACCTGAAAACGTTCAGCAAATGGGGTAAGCCTAACTCGGGAGGAGGACGAGCTGAGTTTGAGGAGACAACTGCCTGGGACAGCACCTGCCGCTCATGGGACAAACTGCTGTCCCGACACCTCTCCGGCCGCATCGACAGCTCAGCCTGTGTCAGGCTTTCGCTTTCATTGGTTCGAAGTATTTTCCAATCCTTGTTCCCCTGGAAGCAGGGAGGCTAAGACGTGGGAGGGAGTAAGATCTCCCACGGCAGATCCAGGGAGCACAGGGTTGGGAACAGAATTGTGAGGAATGCCTCTGGAAAGGGGCGGAAAGAGGAAGCTGACCGAGTGGGAGGAACAGGTGCAGGCCCGACACACACACCCCCTTGCCTCTGCCAGGTGACTGAGCACAGGGCCACCCAGAAGCTTCCCCAAGCTCCCTGGCAGTTCTGGCCCAGAGCTGCGTCCTGCGGCTACAATGCTACACGCCAGTTCTACTTTCCTGACAAGTCTGAAATACTTGGAAATACAGAACGATCAAAAACAATCACAAATGATTATAAACCATATAAAATCATTATAATAGGAAGCCACAAAAAAACAACACTCAAGCCTTCCAAAGAAAATTCTTAGCTAAAAAATTCATTTAATGGTAAACAAAAATGAGATAATTAAAAACTTTTAATTAGGCAGAGAACTGTCAATACAGTGGCAACCACCATCAATCACAGAAGTATGTGTACCTCAGCGGTCAGAAGTCTTTTTGGACATTGGTTAACAGCGGCAAAAACTCTCCTGAGTCCCGTCTCTAGCTGTGTCAGTAACAACATGGCACAGTCGGCAAACCTGTGAAAATGAAGTAAAATAGGCAAATCTCAAGCTTTGAAAGTAAACACTGGCACTGACCCCAAATAACGGTGCTTTGTTCCAGATATTACCAATGTGTGATCAAGGCAAGGAGGGGTGACAGTACTCGATAACACGAGAAACAATGCAGAATCACAGTCTCCTTAGACTCCTGAGTTTAAATCTATTTTCCACTGTTCTGACATGAGGAGCTCCAGAATAAAACGTCATCAAAGATCTGCCCAATTCTTCCCACTGCTTGTAAGAAATACTCAAATTCCAGGATTTGGGTGGGTTCTCAAGGTACAAAAGAACGCACAGACAAGAGAACCTGAAGGGAGGCAAAGGCCGTGGGCCTCACAACGTCCACGTGCATCTGCTCTGCTCCCCAGGAAACAGAGTCGAACTCACCTCCTCCTGGTTGTAGGATTCTTTAACACGGGACACACGGTTCTCTCATAGTAAGAACTCAAATGACACCGAAAAGTTGATTCCAAACAATGATTATCGGTACTGACTACACCAAAAGGCTGATGCGTAATGTTTTAGTCAGCACTGTGAAGGCATTTTAAGCTCAGCTGTCCTGGAGAGGGACCAGCCTCCTCACTCACCTGTGTGACCTAAACCTGATTAATGCAGCTTCCCAGTACGGCAACATGACCTTTAATATGAAAGTGGATTTCTTCATCACTTCTTCAAACACTGAAAGTACCTCAGAAGTAACGTCTGCAAAATAACAAAGAGTTTTAAGCACAATCACCCTAATCAGTTGAAGAACGACGTAAGCAGACTCAGGGCGGGAGGCCCACGAGTCGTAGGTGACCGTGGCGCCCCTGGGGCAAGGGGAGGCGCACGATGGCCTCTTCATGACTCAGGCCACAGCTGTGAGGAGAGGACGTCAGGGCTGACCAGCTGACCACGCCAAGAAAAATAAGATACATTTTCAGAAGAGAGAGGAACAAGACTCAGCCCTGAGGTAAACGATGGACTCTGCCTAATGATGACGTGTCTGTGCAGGTTCATCCCTGGCAACAAATGTCCTCTGCGGTGGGATGCTGCATGTGTCAGTGCGGGGGCTTAAGGGGAACCTCTGCACCTCCCTATCCATTTTGTTCCAAACTGAAAACTGCTCTAAAAAAGTCTTAAAAAGTATTTATTATTGGCAGTCAGCGGACTACCAAAGGGTCCGTGGCACAAAAAGGCTAAGACTACCAGGACTGAGGTGACCTGGGTTACTCCTGCCACGACTTACATCAGAGGTACAGCCCTACACCCCGTAGGAGGGAGCTTTTATGGAGCAAAGTTTAAGCAGCTTCGAGAGTTCATCTTCTCCTGCCTCTGGAGAGTAAGCAGTCCATCTAAAAGGCTCAAGTCCCCATGCCACTTCCTGACTTTATCCCTGCCTTTATGAAGACACATTCAGGGGAAACTGTAAAGTGTAATACTTGCCAGGGAAAATGGCCAAATCCTCAAGGTCTGTAAGAGCTATGAAAGGTCGGTGTGCCAACACAAGTTTAGTTTGCTGCAAGTAACTCTTCAGCAGCTGACCCAGTCCCACGGTCAACAGTATCATCATTGAACAGTATCTAGTGCAAAACACCACAGGATCTGTTAGAAAAATGGACCATCACACACATAAAGAGATTTACTTTCAAAAGAACAAGTTTAAAATTAAGAAAGTACACCACCATTCAATTGCAGGTAACTCCCCCTTGCTGTGGGAATTCAGCTACACGAGGGCTGGGAGGCTCGAGAGCGCAGTTCTCAGGGTCTCCCACCCCCCAGCAGGCAGTGCCCCTCGTCACCTCCGCAAAGCTCGGCCTCACAGCTGCCTCTGGGGTGGAAGTCAGTGGGGTCCCAACCCTGTCACACACCAGGTGTTCATCGGCTTCAGTCTGATCTTCAAATTCCTGCCTCAAAACTCTCATCTTCCCCAAAACACATATTTCCCCGATGTAAAATTCAAGATAAAACAAACTCCTAAGTACATCAAAGAAGAGAGAAACGTACTTTGGGGGGATCTCGTGAGGTGAGGCAAAGCCGTGCCACAGGGTATTACGCAGGTTGAGTCCACATGGAGACCCGACGAAGACTTTCAGCACATCCATCTAATCAGGTTAAGAACAGATTACTGAACAGTTAAATATTCACCGAACTACGGAATAAACTGATATAGTAGCGGGAGAACGTCTGCTTTCTTCTTTAGAGCAGACCCAACACTCTGTCTGGCATGCGGTCGTACTAGTAATCGTAATAGTATTCAAACATTACTGGGCATTTAACACGTCAAACACATTTTGTGTGTATTTATTACTCATTCATCCTCAGAACAACCTCTGAGGAGGGCACTACTATTAACCCCACTGTGCAGATGAGGAATACAAGCATGGAGAGCTGAAAGCTAGGTCTCGGGGCCAGGAGCTACAGAGGGGGATGAGATCTGTCCCAGGCTATGCTGGTTTCATCTGGCACATCAAGCATGCCTACTACCTAGATAAAACAAAACACGAAGTGGGGAACGGGAAATCCACAGGAGGAAGGCCCCGTGAGGAGGGGCTGGCCCATAGATGCTCCCAGCCCAGACCTCCCCTACTTAGCTGTTGGCTGGAAGCTCACCGTTCACCTGCTTCTCTCCTCCACTTCTAAAGGCACCCACTATGGGGATCCCGCTTATCAGACGGCAAGACTCATGCATGTCCATGGGCTTGCTCTTGGTTTGGAGGGCAACCCTTTGGAACAGATTCAGGATAATGGAAGATATGCAGAGACTAAAATAACTCAAAACCAAGTCATCTGAGAAGGAAGAGTGTGCCTCCAGAAGACATGGAGAAGGAAGGAAAGCCATCTTCAGATGCCTGAAGGACTCCTGCTGAGAGGAGGAAACGGATGCAGAAATCCTGAATTTCTCTCAAAGGGCAGGACAAGCCAGAGCAGAAGTTACAAAGAGGGTTTCAACTCAGCATCAGAACCCTTGGCAACCAGTCTGTCCATGCAACTCCAGAAACTCTTCACACTCACATCAATTTTTAATACTTGAATAGTAACACCTAATCCTAATAATCACAATAATACTCTCTTAGCTGTATTTATTTTTAATTTAGTTTACCACTAACTTTAATTAATTGTTCATACCACCTGGGCAATCAGAAATAAAGAAGCCAACGAACTAGTAGAAGGATCTGGGGCTGAGAGTGGCTGCAGGTCAGCAAGAGGCTAACAGCACCCAGACAGACAACAAACAACAGGTCAAAACACATGGATCTGTTTCAGAATTCAGTATAACTACAGGAATTTTGTACTTGGTCTTCACTCCATATTCTCCACTGAACAAAGTGCTCTTTAAGCTGACAAGGAACCACTGTAAAGTGGGAGAGCTTTACTGAAAACAGATTTCTTATCCAAAAATAGCAAGTCTAGCTGGTAACATATTACACCAGTATTTTAAACATCGTCCTGGCTCGGCAGGCTCAGCTTTGCCCAGGACGCTAACCTGGCATTCTTCTGCACCTTGATCCTGCCTCACTCGGTTGCCAAAAGGTTACTCATTCGTCTTAAACAGCCTTGGTCATGTGGCCTGTTGAAGATTTTGACAAAGTATACAGCTCTGCATGGTTTTAAATTGGCATCTGGTTTTTTTCACTGTAAGTCTGAACAGTTGCAAAACGGCATAAATTCCCACGTTAAAAAAAAAAAATGGATACTTTAGGATAAAACTTTAGTATCCCTCCCTAAATGGTCAAAATTTTATTCTAGAATACATTATTATGATAATTATTAATGTATAATTAATGAAAGCAATAGAGTTCAAATTGTTCATCCGGCTGGCCCCCCGAGGCCGTCCCACCAGAGGCTGTTATACCACGCTAAGACCCAGGATAAGAGACGTGTGTCTTGTGGCTGGAAAAGTGGCAATTTTGAAAGGGGAGGTGGGAAAGGAGAATATGCTCAAATTACAGCTATCATCAACTTTTTCCTACTGCAGCATCAATTTCTGAGGAACAAAAGTAGAGCTACCATAAACGGCTTTGTGTTGTGTCTACTCTATCAGGTTTAGGTGAACAAGCTTACCACAGACCGCCCAAAGACCTCAGCAAGCTCCTCAGATGCAAGCAGATCTCTCAAAAGAAAGGGGCATTCCTTCCCATTCAGTAAATACACCTACAATTCAAACAAGGATTGTCTTACAGTTGCACTGTAATGAGCCAAACAATGTGAAGAAAAAACCCACCCATAAAGCCACTGTTTGTACAAATGAGGGAGAAAAGCACTGAAGACACCAATGTTTTGATTTCATAATCATTGAAAAAGAAAAATATTAAACATCTGTGCCAAATGATTACATTTCATAGGAAAACAAGAAATTAAAATCAAGAAATCTGAGGACAGCTGTAGAAGTCTGATGTTCATTCAGATATTTTAGTGAACCAAAGAAAGAGGTCTCACACTTACATCACCCAAAGCCCGTTCTAGACATGCTGTCAGTTTCATTAAGCTAAGAGGAATAGCGGGACATTGAAGGCTTCCCAAAGCATCAAATATTTCAGGAAATAACTGTGTAGAACAAGACATATGTTAGAATTTGTGATCAGTAAGAAACATTTCCCCAAGTATTTCTCAAGCAATACGATTTATGAAATTCAAACTTCTAAAGGTTTCAGTTGGTATACTTTCATGACTTTCTTGGTATAGGTACATATTTGTTATACAGATACACAGGTTTGGACTCCACAAGTTGGCTTACATGTGGATTTCTTCCACAAATACGGTACGGTATTGTAAGTGTATTTTTCTCTTCCTCATGATTTTCTTAATAACGTTTTCTAGCAGACTTCATTGCAAGCATACAGTATGTAATACATAAAACATCTAAAATATGTGTAATCAACTACATTATCAGTAAGGCTTGTGGTCAAGGGTCGGCTATTAGCAGTTCAGTTCTGAGGGAGTCTAAAGTTACATGCAGATTTACAACTGCACAGGGTGGGCACCCTTAGCCCTGCACTGTCCAAGACTCAACTGTAACAATATCTAAAGAATCAAAAAAATGTTTAGTATCTAAGGAGTTTTGAACGTTTTTTTTCTTCATTTAAGTGTTTACTGAAAGCAATAAATCTGGCATAACTGTAAACTGAAAAGTCAAATATTTTGACCTAAATCTTATTTCCCATTCTGATTAGTTCTTAAAAGTCAATAAACGTGAGGCAGCTCAGCCTGTCATGTAAGAGCTGTTACAAGGGGAGAAGCAATGACCCTTCTATCTACATCAGGAAATTTGAAGTATTTTATAATTAGATCTTTTATAGTTACTGCCCTACTGTGGTCATTAAATGTGCCAAGTGCAATGGCTGGTTTGCACCAACCAACAAACCAGCCAAAACAAGGTTTGGGCTCGGCCCCACACTACCCCACCTCCCGTCTATTCACCCTCCACAAGCCAAGCATCCCCACCTGGTTTCCTTGTCCCACTGTCTCAAGAACACCTTACTGTCTGTCCATAAGGTCTTTGCTTTTTTCTGGAGCAGTCCATCCTCGTCTGTCCCAGGACCAGCACCCACATACCTAGCTACTCTCCAACCCCACTATGGATAATGCGTCCAAAAACTTCCTTTGTTCCAAGGATGTTTCAGGCCACTGCGACTGCATAACATTCTGAGTTTCCCTTGCATCCCTCAGGCCTTTTCACAGGCGGAGGGCTTAGTGGATGGAGGAGACCCCTTTAACATGAATAGGTAACGAGGGCCTCTAAGCAGACTTCGTGAAGTCTTGCATTTCTAAAGGTTGTTCATAAGCCAAACCTCTGGAAAAGCTGTCCACTGCAGCCACGGCGCGTATCGAATGTCAAACTCCCCCTTGGTCAGAGATAACAAATGTTGGTGGACAGCCTCACACACAGGGCCCAGCAGCCGCACAGTGCCCCGGTAATCCAGACTCTGGGCTTCAGGGATAAGAAAACCAGTGTTAGTACTACAGCTCCTCATCATGTGATGAAAATGCCTAAGCATCAAAGAAAAAGTGCTTTAATTATGAAGTTTCCATGAAATCAACAACCAGTTTATAGTTGAACTTACAATAAAGATACTAAGATATTGCTGGAAATAAGTTACATGGTGATCTGATAATAAAAGAAAAATACACTGTTAGAAGTGTACTAGGTTGGAAGATACAAAAAGGTTAATCAAGAGAAAATATTTTCTTCACTCTACTTGTATGTAAGTTTATACAAAATCAGGTTCATACTGTATATATAATATTTTAACCTGATTTTTTTACTTGACATTATTAGACTGTGAGATTTCCAATGATGTTATTTTAGAACATATGAATTTTTTTGTTTTAATTTTTTGGTAAGTTTGAAACTGAACATTCACACGGCTCACACCCAGAAAATATCAAAGGGCGAAGGTCTCCCTTCTGCCATCCAGTTCTCTTTCCAACAGCAGCTACGGTTACTGATTCCTCGGGGTATTTAGAAATACTTATACGTACACAAGCAAACACAACGACCTCCTATTCCTTCACTTAGGCCCGCGGCTCAGGGCGACAGGCTCCTCACCCCTCGTAGCACCGCACATAGCACCGCAGAACACCTCCGTGTGCCTCTGTGGTAGTCATGCTGTGCTGGGCCGTTTCCCATTCCGCTCACAATCGGCACCGTGTGGGCCGTGTCTCCCGTTCCGCTCACAATCGGCACCGTTTGGGCCGTGTCTCCTGTTCCGCTCACAATCGGCACCGAGACTACAACCCGGCACGGTCTCTGGCACCGTGCGTGTGCCTGTGTTACAAACTCCGGGGCCAGAGCATGCTCGTTGGCAATTCCTATAACTATTATTAAATCTCCCAACCCACATCCCTGCTCTAAAACATGTACAACAAAGCCTGGAACATTTAAGACAGCTGTGTAACACCCTACGGGCCATTTCCTACCCACAATTCCTAGGACCCCACTTTCTTCTCCCTTCCGTCGACTGTCGGCGCAGAGGGAGCCTCTGACCCTGCGGCCTCCTTCTCACACAGGCCTTCCTCGGCTCCGTGCCCTGCTCTCTCTCCTGTGCTCCTCTGGCCTCATTCCCTCCCACGCCGCCTGATCCCTTTCCTCTTCTGAGCCAGGTCTGCATTGTAACAACCTCTAACTAAAAGAAACAATGGTCAGAAAGGAAAGTGTTACAGCCAAGACTCCTTAAATCGAAGGGCACTGACAGCTGCTTGGGGGGCAGAGAACGTACAGACCTGACTGTGTGTAAGTCACACAGGCTGTGATGCTCGGCCAGCACACTTCACCCCTCTGAGTTACAATGCGACTGATATCACAACTTTCTCTGACTTCAAACCCGAGTTTACAGATCATATCATAGACTGAGGGAGAAAGACAAGTGGTAATCGGATCCTCTATTAGCATCTGAAATATAAGACATAGAAGACACTATTTAAAAGAAGTAAAAACAGAGTAATATCAATTATATATTCAAGTCACAAGAAAATCCCATTCTACCTTAAGTACAGAATACACTTGGGTATAGGTACTGTTAACACACTTTCTGGCTATCGTGAAAGCTGTATGATTAAAATACTGTGATTAAATATTAATCAAAGATAGTTTACATAACCTTTATCAAATAAATGTTGAAGATGTGAAATTTTTAATATTTGTGAAGATAAGAGTTTACAGAAGCTTGGTACATCTTGTGGATAGTGCATTGTTCCTTTCAGCATTCCTATACTATCCCAAAGTTATTGAAATGACCAAGTTTTTTTAATGCAGAATGGAAAAGCAGAAAATCAAGCATAATAAACTAAAATGCAAGTAAAAAGCACAGCTCTGAATCCTCATGTGGTATAAGAAGCAGCAAACCATGCTTTTACATGAAGGATTAAATAATACCAAAATCCTCATAATTATCCCCACATTACACTAACATCATCTTATAAACCTGCAAAGGAGTCACACTCTGGGACTAAAATTATCACGGGGTCTTCATCTGCTGTATCAAGTCAAGGGGTGTGTGTTCTAACATGAGGGATTAAGCCCTAGCAGCTCCCTGGTTTGGAAGCTGGGCATCTTGAGTTCCTGCACCCTACTCAGCAACCCCGTTACACAGTTCACTCCTCCCATTGCCCAGAAGCCTCACTTCCCACTCTCAGCCCAATCTTCCACAGACCCAAGGAACGTGTGCCAAATAAGCACTTATGCTGTGACCTACAGGGCGCACGCTGCTCAGCCAGTCAGGGACCACAGACACTGCAAGAGAGCGGGGAGAAGACAGGACCCGCTCCTGCTGCCTGCAACCTGGGCCTTCCCCTCCAGTCTCTGTCCCTTGGAGCTTCTCCCCAGCAGCAGCATGGTAGCGGAATCCAGTCTGCAGTTTTCCCAGCACCTGTAGGCCCAGCTTCTTCACTGTGCCCCCACCAGACACACCACCAGCTGTCCAGTGCCTGCTCTTCAAGGTCTGCTTCCCAGAACTGTCAGGCCCGCCCTGTAGCTGAGCAGCACAACCTCCTCCTCAGAGATCCAAGTTTCAACTGGGTGGGACCTTCCACCAAGTCTCTAAGTCGTAAAATCCCAACCACTGCTCTGGTTCTCTCAGTCCCACAAGGGAGTGAGTGAGCCCTGCAGCTGCCAAGTCCAAAATACTTGTAGACATCTCTTCTTACTCTTTCTGTAACAATTCTACACTGTTAACTCTTAATTCTCTTCCTTCAAAGCCTGGTGTGGTTTGTCTTCCCTGATACAGAAATGTAATCCTAAAGGGTTACTTTGATATCAAAAGGGACTCCTTGCATTTTTAAAAAGCATCTGAACTCTAAGCAAGGAGCTCTGGTTCTGGAGTGACAGGTGGCAGGCAAACGTATTTTTGCACAAAAGCCCATCTACTCCATTACTGCAGGCCCTGGATATGGAAACAGAAGCTTTAAGAAATGTCTTCTCTTTTGGCTGTATTCGCCCATGCAATATAGTTGCCCTGCAGCCTTAACCAAACTGTAAGATCCTAGAGCACCAAGGTTCTGTCTTATACAGAACATACCCCCAACACACAGCATAGCCCCCGGCACACAATAAACGCGAGTTAACTGAATCATCGATGGCTCATCCTTCCTGGAGCTGAAGGGAATGCACTTCAAGTCGTTACAACCTTCAGCTTTTGGGAATAACAATATTCTACCCCTACCAAGAGACACAGAATTCTAGAAGCTGGCTTTTATGTTAACTTCAAGCACATATTGTCTTGAATAATTAACCTCATGTTAATTAGGAATAAAATCCTACTTCAAATCAAGAAATATTAGATACTACAATACTTTGTGACTCATGACCGTACGTCTTCCTGTTAGTTATGAATGCGCCTCTCCTCCCTCCCCCTCACGTCTGCCCGTGTGTGTGTGTGTGTGTGTGTGTGTGTGTGCGCACACGCGCGCACCCACCCATACCTTTACTCCTTGATACTCCAGTGTCTTGTCCAGGGCAGTATGGGGCGGTGCAAATGACCTATATGCTTAGAACCTTCAATTTGAACTCTTCTTCAGACTCCTTGTACCTCTTGCTTTGAAAAAGTATTCTGAGCCTCCGTTTTAACTGTAAATGGTACAGGATATAATCTAGTGTTGCAGTAATTACAGATAATACTTGAAAAGCATCTCACGCACAGCACTCAAAATATAGTAGCTATTGCTGAAAGTGATGATAGATGATTGTATTTAATTGCACGAGGACAGGAAATAAAACCCTATGAGGCAACCCCGTATAACCCGATCTACAGCCATTGAGGCTGTCGTGATTTAGTTTTGTAACCAAAATGGCCTAAAAACGTCGAATTTCAATTTACCAGTACCACCCGCAGGGTAAGTATGACAACAGTGCAGGAGCAGAGAACGCTTCCTTTCGAGGACGGAGACCACCGTATACACGCACGTAACGGCCTGTGAAGACCTGGCTGCTGCCCCACCCGCGAGCCGAATACTACTTTCACTCTTCCACCACCGACTCGCGGATTTCAGCCTGGGGCCTGGGAAGTGCGAGGAACTGCGCCCCCGGAACAATCTGGGGGCCGGGGAAGCGCCAAGGAGAACGAGGGCAAGTAGTGCGTCTTCGTGTCCGGGTCGGGCGCTCATCCTCTCGCCAGCCGCGGACGAGGGGCTGGAAGGCCGACCTGCTTCCGCGGTGGCGCCTGCGCAGACACCACGGAGGCCCGGGGACCGCGGCCCACAGCCCGCCAGGCCAGCAGGGTGCGGCGGACGCTGCGCCTCTCCCCGCCCGTGCCGCAGCGGGCGCCACGCACGCCAACACCGCGCTCAGGTGCCCACCAGCACCCCCTTCCTGGCCGCTCCGCCTCCGTCACTTCCAGCTACCGGCAGCCGGCGCGGCGGGATGACGCACACCTCGCCCCGCCCACCCCTCCCTCCCGGGCGCACTTCTGGCCGGCGCAGCGCAGGCGCGGGACTTGAAATCTCGCGGGAAGCAGCCGAGGCGTTTGGGGCGGGTGGAGGCGGGCCGTTGGGCGTGGTGGAGCGCCGGCAGCATGGAGAAACGCGGGCGAGGCGGGAAGCCGTCTTCGAGTACCGCGTCTCAGCTGCAGCCGCCGCCGCCGCCGCCGCCGCCGCAGCCTCGGAGGGAGAGGAGGCCCAGCATGTTCGAGAGGGAGGCAGTGAGTGCGGAGGCGGGGCCAGAGCGCGGTGGCGGGCGGCGCGGGGCTGGTGTCGGTGAGCGCTCCGCCGCCCTCGCGCTCCCCTCCGGTCTCCCTCTCCCTTCCCTGTGCTCCCCGGGCTCTGCACTCAGCACCACACGTGTGCTGTGTTGACAAGGACAAGGGTCCGATGTGTTGAGTTTTCAGAAACAGCTGCAGTCTCAGTATTTGAGGGACCTGCAGGAGGAAAAAGCAAATGTGAGACTCGCTGTCTGCAGTTAGTGGAAGATGCCATTCACTTTTATGGGTGGAATAACATCAGGAGTTCTGTGAGACCATAGTCCGAAAACCATTATTGTAATGGAGACTCCTTTTATTGAGACATTACGTGAGGAAATAATTTGTCCAAGGATAGGGAGCTGTAAGGTTAGAGCTGAGACTAGCGTATCTGCCCTGGGAATCCTGGTCCACTTGTCTCAAGGTTTCCTTTCCCACCTACTTCATGGGACCCATAATCTCCGAGGTAAAGGAGAGAGAGCAGACAAAACGCTGATGTTCCTAAAACATTTCAAGGAATCAAAACATGTCGGCTCTAATGACAGTTCTGTGGTGTCTCCATTTTACAAAGGAAAGAACAGACCAGAGGAGGAAAAATAGAGCAATTTCACACAACCAAATGCAGAGCGAGGCTGGAAACCTTATCTGTTGGAAGTGAAGTTTCATGCTCCCAAAAGCTGTGCTGTGCAGTTTGGCCCCTGAACAGCATGAGGTCCACCCATTCAGATCCACTTACATAAATTATTTTCAATAAATATATTGAAAAAATTTTTTTGAGATTTTTAACAATTTGAAAAGACATTTCTCTAGCCTTATTGTAAGAATACAGTATATAACATACAAAATATGTGCTCGTTAGCTATTTATTTTATTGGTAAGGCTTCTGGTCAACAGTAGACTTAAGTTTTGGGGGAGTCAGAAATTACACACAGATTTTTTTTTTTTTTCCTGGAGGGGGGTGGTCAGTGTCCCTAACCTTCCTTTTGTTCAAGGATCAACCGTGTTGCCCGGTAATAAATCTGTTTTATAGATAGATCACCAGCAGTAAAGAAAAATTTCTGTATTTTGAGGCAGACAAAGGTGCCTTTTAGGAACTTCCTATTACATGACAGAAGTGGTCTTGAAAAATGAATAAGCCTGAATCCTAAAGGATATATATACGCGTGGTATATAGACCATAGTCTGGGAATAAAGGGATATGGACCAAGGCCATTCTTGTTTATTTGATATGGATGTGATCGATCATAGCTGTCTTTAAGACTTAGGCTACTAGGAGTAAGAAATTTGAATAGACCAGAAATAGTTGGAAGAAACTGAGAATGCAGTCCACATATGCTCACTAAATGTACCTGAGAATAATAAGTGCACTAATGGGTAATTTCTAACTTTTGGGTAGTAGAGAATTCCTCTGTTCTTGAGCATAGGAAGTACGAAGACACACAGCACAATTTAATCGATTTAAATGTCTTTTAATTTTATACGTGCTGCATCCATTTTTTTTCTTCTAGTAATAGCACTTCCATTTTCCTTTGGAGGATTAATTCATTTCCCATACAATAGAGTTTTAATGGGACTGTCACGTTCCTTAACTTTGTGGTTAGATGAGACACAAATGTGGCTAATTAGTTGAACGCTTCATGGAATAACGTAAGAAAATGGGATTAATTCAAACTGAGGACAGAATACTGATGTGCCTCATGTGTCTCGTTCTTTAGCCTTCTCTTCCATTCTGTGAGCTGCTCAAACCAAAGATCCAAAACCTTAAACAGATAACCAAAAAATTGAAGACTTGGTTAGTCTCACTTGTGTATATACATTTGAAAATCTTAAATACAAGCAAATAGCCTTTAGATTTTTAGAGCAGAGCTATGGAGCAAGCACGAGCGGGGAGAAGGGCAGAGGGAGAAGCAGACTCCCCACGGAGCAAGGAGCCCGATGCGGGGCTCATCCCAGGACCCCAGGATCGTGACCTGGGCCGAAGGTGGACGCTTAACTGATGGAGCTACCCAGGCACCCCAAATAGCCTGTAATTAGTATATTAATATAATATTGTTATTAATATAGTGGCATCTTATGACCAGACTCCGTTTATTTTGGGATTTTAAGCAGGCTCAACATAAGGAAATGCTGTATCACTAGGTTAAATAATTAAAGTCAGGTTATTTTTGTAGATGCAAAAATGATCATATTTAAAACATTCCTAATTTTTAGAAGTAATTACAAAGATTCTTCCTTAATGAAAGGATAAAATAATGAATAAAAGGAAAACTGAATCAAGAGGTGCCTGGGTGGCTCAGTCGTTAAGAATCTGCCTTAGGCTCAGGTCATGATCCCAGGGTCCTGGGATCGAGCCCGGCCTCGGGCTCTCTGTTCAGCCGGAAGCCTGCTTGTGTTCCTTCTCTCGCGGTCTCTCTCTCTGTCAAATAAATAAAATCTTTAAAAAAAAAAAGAAAACTGAATCAGAAGGCCAAAATTATATATAAGGAAGAAATGGTAGAGATGTGAGTTTTCAGCAAGTTAGAATCACTGTTATTTTCAAACCATGCATGCATGCTCTATCCCTGAGGGAATCATTGCAGTTGAAAGCCACTGTTAAGGATACGGTGTCGTTGTATCCCTTGAGTGTATTGTGGGGGAAAAAGATGGCAATTACTATAGAAAAGTATTCTCTTAATAAAAAAAGAACAAAATAAAGATTTTATTTTTAAGAGGCTTAGGGAGCAAATAATTCCTCTTTCCTCCAACTAAAACATAATGCAGCCTGGCAAATAATCAAACAGTAGATTTCTGATGAAGGACTTCCAGCTAGCAGCCAACATGGAGTAATTCCTACCAGAAACCATTGAAAATAGCACAAAATGTATGAAGCAATTGTTTTTCCATTAATGGGATGTAAGGCAAGACAGGGTAGTAATCTCTGGGGGCGGGGGATAGGAATGGTGACCCCCAAGATTTCCGCTGACTCCCCGATGAGGGAATTCCGGCCTACACCTGTGGAGAGCTCTTCCTTAGTTGAGAAGGGTTTGAGAGCCAGGGTAGATCAAGCTGGTGTGAATGCAGAGCAGAGTATTAGGAGGGAGCTGCACAAACAGCTCCAAAGATCTGCTAAGGATTTTCCTCAGGTCTTCAGGTTAGAGCATCAGTGTGTCTAATAAGGAAACCACCTGTTCCCAGAGAAAGAACCACCAAAAGGAGCAGAAAAAAATCATTGGACTCACACAAAATCATTTGTTTTTCCACCAATAAGAGTGGAAAACCATGTAAATCATAGGGCATTGGTTAGAGTGCTAAGAAGTGTATTGTCTCAGTACTGGGGGAAGAAATAGCTCTAGACTTAAAGATTTTTCCAGTTTGGTCTATCAAGATTAAAAGCAAGTCTCAAGAGAATTAAACTGTTCTTGTTACATGCTAGAAAACTCAAGAGTATGTAAAGGAATGCAAAAACACACCAAGGTAAAAGTCACAGTATCTTATGTCCAATTAAGTATTTTCAGACCTAGAAAGAAACAGGAAAATAGAACTCAAAGTTAGAAGAAACAATAAAAACACCCAGAAATGACAAATAGCAAAGATAGAATTAGTGTAAAAGGTCACTGAAGTATTTACTACAGAAAAGTTACTGTGTTAGTTTTCATTAAATTAAAGCAGTTATATTAAGTGATAAAACAGTTATTGCATTTTGTATGTTCAAGCATGTTAAATCCAGATGAAACCCTACAGTTGAAAAATAAAATGTTAGAGATGTAAAATATACTGAATAGAAATAGCAGATTTGACACTGCAGAACAGAACTTAGTGAACTTAGAGGCAGCAATGGAAAGAAGACCTGAAAAAATATATATATTAGGAGAAATAAATGAGATACAGGGAAATTATATATATATATATTTGGAGTTCCCAAGTGAGGAAAGCAGACAGGGCAGACAAAAAATACTTGAAGAAATAATGGGTGAGAAATTTCCAAAAAATGAAAACTATAAACCCACAAATCCAAGCTCAATGAACTTCAAGCACAAGAAACATGGATATTATGCTGAGATGTGAAGCAAATTGCTTAAAATCGATTTAATAATTTAAAGGCAGCTAGGAAAAAAAAACTAGGTACAGAGGAATTGTAAAATGAGAGCAGGCTTCTGATCAGAAACAATGCAAGCTAGAAAACTGGCACTCTCATTAGTTTTAAAGTATCTTTAAAGTTGAAAGACCATCAACCTAGAATTCTATACCCAGTGAAAAGTATTTTTCAAAAACAAAGGCAATATAATAGGTTTTCCAGATACATGAAAATCAAAAATTCACCAATAAAAGATCTGCACTATCCAAAATGTGAAACGAAGTCTTTTGGGCATAATGAATGTGATAAGAGATGTGAATATGTATCTAGATGAAAGAAAGCATTGGAAGTGGTAAATATGTAGATAAATTATTTTTTTTCTGTTTAAGGATTATTGGGATGATGAATCACTGAATTATACTCCAGAAACCAGTATTATAGTGTATGTTAACTACCTAAAATTTAAATAATAACTTTAAAAATTATAAATTAGAAAAAAAAGTAAAGCTTATTGGCTGATTAAATACAAAATAACATATTTTGGGGCTTGTAGCATATGTAGAAGTAACATGCATGACAATTCTAACATTAAGACCAGAGAGGTGGGAGGAGGGGACTTATGCCATTGGAAGACTCATAGTATGGGAAGTGGCATAATCTGCCTTGAAAGTAGACTGATAAAGATATATAAAGCCCTGGAAAATAATAAAGGTAATAGGCCAACAGATAACAATGGAATCATGAAAAATACTTAATTTAGAAGAAATCATAAAAAATGAAAGGAACAGGGCACCTGCCTGGCTCAGTTGGTAGAGGATGTGACTTTTGATCTTGGGTTATAAGTTTGAGTCCCACATTGGGTGTGGAGATTACTTAAAAATAAGATCTTTTAAAAAAGTAGATAAAAGGA